AATAAAATTGACAATAATAAAAATAAAATATTATATTTAATAAATTAGCACATAAAAATTTTATTCAAAATATTTAAATAATTAAAAAAAAAACCCTAAGGGCCTGATTGGTTAAAATGCTACTTTATTAAAAATGTTTTTATTATAAAAGTAGTTAAAGAAATATTATATAGAAAGTTAGTAAGTTTTGTTAAAATTTTGTTTAGTTATTAATTTTATTATGTTTAATAAAAAATTAATATAAGAAAAGTTAATAAGAAAATTTATTATGTGAACTCAAAATAGAGATAATTATAAAAAAAAAAACTTTTTCCTTATAAAACAGTTGAAAAGAAAATTTTATAAATTAAGAATTATATCACGGAAAATAAATATTAAAAATTTTATTTTTATTTTTGAACATGAGGAAAAATTCTTGGAATGAAATATTTTTTTCAAGTAATTAATGAAAGTCAAATTTTAAACTAATTAAACAAACATTAAAATTTGAAGATAAATAATTAGATTCAAAAATTCGATATCGTTTTTATTTTTATTTTATTATAATATTAATATATAAAAGACATAAATAACCTTATAAAATTAAAAAAAAAAAATTCCCCAAGCAAACACTCCCTAAATGGTTTCCTCCTTCCTGTGTCCGTAAACAAGATTTTTAAAAAGTTGAGTTTTGGGAGTTGGGAGTAATGTAGGAGGTGGGGTTGGAGGGGGGGAGGTGAGCACAGGAAGGTAGGCAAAATAAACCATCAGTAGAGCGTAGGGAGAGTACTGTGTGGCCACCCCACCGGCCCCCTACCCTTAGTTGTTGAGCCAACACATGTCGAGCATCTGCATGAGTTTTGGGTAGCTCATAATGGTCCCCCACTCCCCACACAATTCCCATCATTATATCTATACGCTAGTATGTAGGGAAGGTATTTTCCTCTTCTAACGCATCGCGGTCGCTACCATAATTGCGAGTGCTAGTTAAGGTTCGGAGCCTGGTGGCGTTGTTTTGATAACGTTAGCTACATTCTCTTTCCACTTTTACCGTACTTTTTTTGGTAACGATTTCTATGTCATTTATTTCAACAGAAGGGATACCTCGGGGAATAATTGACTAATATAATATATATA